CCTCGACTCTGCTTTAGTGTCAGGTACGAAATGTGTTCTTGCTATGTTTACATTTTATTATTACTAAATATGGTGTGTGTATGTTAAAGTGTAAAATGTTCTGTTTCTCTATTCAGAGGTGAAGAAGATTCAAGTTGTGGATAATTTGATGTATGTTCTAAACAATGAGGTAAGAGAAAACTGCTGTTGATGCACACGATGATGGACCATTTTTCTAACCTTAAAAGTGTGCATAATAATTTGTGAACTTCTCAGACTTGAACAATAAGTTCAGCTCTTCTCGGGGTATTGGGAGCATGATCACATGGAAGAAAATTCTAAAAGTTAAATGCAATTTTTTTGCACACTTTTATGAGTCCAACAGCCTTTTAATTACCAATCGGAGCAGACCTAGATTAAAGTGGACTCAAACCTGGTCTCAGTCCACATTTCATTCACACTGGTATTTTTTAGGAAGCCAAACAATTTGAATATTATAATTGTATTTATTATTATTATTTTCATAAGATAGAAATATTGTTTTAATCCCATCTAATCTGATCTCAAGGTCCCCCCTACGTGAAAGATCCTTGTTTTCATAATTGATCGTTGCTGCCACACAAGTTCTTATCCCTGGTAGTGTCACAATACCAAAACTACGGCTTCAGTACGATGCCTGAATAAAATATCTCAATACTTATTCTGAACCGATACCACGACAAAAAATACTAAACAACAGCAAAAGAAATTGAACAATAGATGACCCACACATTATAGTTAGGGTTAACTTAGTTCATTAATTTATCTATCGATTTAAAAAAAAAACTGAAATCTCTCGCTTGACCAGCGTGTGCCTGACCTGCTTTTTACGCACCCCCCCCCCCCCTTTAAACTATATGCAGGAGAAGGAGATATACAACCGCTGGCAAAAATGGAGTCGCCACACTTAGATGATGTTCTACTTCATAACAAATAAACGAATCACAGATATGACAAAACTATTTTTGTTTAATAATTCAGCACTCTGGTTAAGTGAAACACACCTCAAACAAATGAGATTAAACTCTTTTAATTAATGGAAAATTGTTTTCTATGTCAGTTAGAGAACGCCATGTAGTTTTATAATCTTTGTTGGGGTCAAGTTTCCTCAATTAACCAAGTCCAAATGCTCGTTAAGCACTCTCTTAACTGCTGACTAGCTTTTTTTTTGTTGTTGAGCCGTGTTTGTTTCAGAAATGCAAATTACAAGCTGATTCCATAAGTTCTTCCTCTACTTGATATGGAAAACAACTTTCCTTTAATTTGATTAGTTTGAGGTATGTTTCGCAGAACCAGTGTGTGATTCCATTGTTGTTGCCAGCGGTTGTAGATGGATGCGTTACTTGCTCGCCTCAGTGCTGTACTCTGGATTTTGATCATTTGGGTTTTGTTTCCAAATCACCAGCTCGGAGCTGCGTATGCATCTCTCTCTCACAAATGTAATGCAAAGGTTCAACAGGAGTAAATTTTTGCTGAATCGAGCAGAAATTACATATAAATCCTCTGCTTGCGGCGTCAAGTCACGCTTGTCAGGAAAATGAGAGAATACACAGTTTGAGCAGTTCATACATCATCAAAAGCGGTTTACTTCTTTGAGTATGACTGCATTCACATCAGAAAGGAACTGGACCAGAGTTGGCAAGAACTGAGCCGCAGACTCGGTGTGGTTCATGGGAGTGCTCTCAAGTTCAGAAAACAGCGTTCACATTATCCAAACAAACGGTGTAGTAAATGACCACTAATGTGAACATCATCTTCTTTCCAGGGCATGCTCAGCTTGCTGGACTTTCACTCATTTGTCATGCTTTGTTGCTGGCCGGATCAACACGTTGAAGATTTCCTGCTGATATCAGACGGGAACTCCTCAACTATTACACAGCAAGTGTCTCATTTTGACATACAAAGACAGGGTGCTTATTTTTCGTTATTAATTCACACATTGATGGATTCATTTATTTTGTGTTAAACAGGCAAGATGAAAACAGCATGAAAATCATGTCCTTGGTAGTTGAAGAAAACAAGGTATGTAATGAGCTATATTTGTGTGTGTGTGATATATATATATATTAGTTCCAGTTGTGTCTAACAAATGAATATGCTGGAGTTTCATTTCATTTTCTTTTCTTGATTCTTTTTTTGAAACCCTTCCAAACAATGTGTGGTGATGTAGCTGCTGTTTGATTTTATTTATTTATTTTTTGACTTTTCTGCAATTTTCCAGCTTGGAGAGTCTTTGGCCACTCAAAGTATGAAACGGGAAGTCACTGCTGGATAATGTCATGTTCGTAGTCACCCTGTTGTGCTAAAAATTGTAAATATGAATGGGAATATACTTTAGAGATGTTTTACTCCGAATAATTTCTAGGGGTACCAATAATTGTGGCCATATATATATATATATATATATATGCCCCCCCCCCCACACACACTTTTTTTTTACTTCAATTAAAGGTTACATGTTTTAAAAAGCGTTTTGAATGAAAGATCAAATGGATAAACTATGCAGACTTATTTTGCCAGCCTTTGATCATATTTATCAAGAGTATGAATGTGTCATATTCAAGCCTCTGGCACAAGAATAGATGTCAACTAAAAGGACAGAAAGCAACGCAGGGCTCGACGCCAAGGATGTTTCTGCTGGTCCGGTCGGGCCAGTGCTGCAGATTTATACTTGCACTGCCACAAAAACATAAAATAAAATAGTTGCTGTTATCATTGTTTTTGACCCATGGCATCTTTTATTATAATAAATAAGCTTATATGACATCAACATTTTAGATATCAATTTAATCTTAAAATTCTCGATTCTAATTTCACACCACGGCAAAAACTAATAATGCTTGAACTTTATATTTGTTAGTAAAGACGAGCGAACAGTCCGTAAATAAGAGCCAATTATAATCAGTAGCACAACTGAATATATAGAGCAAAGACACACATGAAATGATGCTTCAGGAGAGACAGCAGCAGACGGCTTTCTGTGGTTACTGCTGTAAACAAAGCAGCGCTGCGCTAATAAACACTGCTGTAATCTTCATTATACAGAGCCCAGATGCAGAGAAACACCATCTAATCTGTTCTGAAGACCGTCAGTTCCCCTCAGAAACCCTGATTCAGTGTTTAGGATTCTCTCCCAGCATCTCGCTCACCGTGAGCAGTGATCTTGCTCTGTCTGTACAGTGTTTTCTCCTCTCTGCGCTCGTCTTCAGTGTCTCTGCTCTCTGTGAACGCCGTTTACACACTTCATAGTATTTCCACACAAACGTCATTACATTCTGTTCACACAGAGCTCAGCGCGATACTGAATGGAGCTGTCTTTCACGTCTTGCTTGAATGCTTTAAAATCGCTTGAATTTTTAAACAAGCAAAGCTTAAAAACACGTGATAAATGCTGGTGAGCAGCGGTCACTGATCTCTTTCACGCTGGACCCGAGCCATCGCTCAGTCCTTATCCTCGAGTCCTGCAGGGGATGTGTGTGAGCCGTTTAAATGCAGTGTTTGTATTGGTGGCAAATTAAAGTATGTGGTCACTACTGAAATAAATGATGTAGAGTAAATCCATGTTTTTGGAAACTAGACTACAACTTCCACCGTTTCTAACATTTTATTTTATGGCATAATGCACAGATGTTTAATGTGTAATCTAAAATATGGGGAAGTACTGTACAGTAAAGAGCAAGCACACTTGAAATATTTCAGTGTAACATGACAAATAGCTGGATTTTTATGTCTTTGTTTTATGGGTATATCAATTTTAGCGGTAACTTATTTCATATTTTTGACACCATCTACAAATGAAAAGTAAATGATGCAAAGTCTCCCTCTAGTGGTGGTTAGTTTCACATGTTTACTGCCGTGGCTTTCCCGGACCCTTCATGTGCTGTTATTAGGCTTTGACTGCCTGCTGTATATCTATATATTGTTCAGATGCAATCAAAATTATTCAGCCCCTTTGACCTGCAAGACCTTTCGCTGCCGAGAACAAAACTTTATGAAAACAGTTCAACAAAGGCATCAGTAAACTAATATAGAAAGTTTATTAATACACATTTGAGTAATTCTGAGAATGTAAAGTTGATGAAAAAAAATCTAATTGGCTCTAAACACTCGTGTACAGAAGTATTTGACCCCCAAAAGCCGAATCTTTTATTCTGAATATCCTCCAGTAAGTGCTCCGAAGCTTCTGTGGGTTTTCTGCTGCAAGACACTTTAATCTTTACCTTTAGCCATAGACTGTCTAATTTAAGAGTGTATTCCCTATAGTTTTTGTGAGCGCTCTTTTGACTTGGCCATATTTGCAACCAGCTAAAGCACAATCATGGGCTAAATTTATGTTTGTGTAACCGCTCAAGCAAGTTAAGTTTTGTGTTAGAGTTTCTAAAGGCTTACTTGTGTTTTAACAATTTTGTGTCCTACTGTACAAACAAGTGACTCATAAACAGCAACAGTGTATAGGGGTTAAATAATTGTGTATAATACCGGTGTATTACAAAAAAATAAGCCCTGTAATTAAAAAATATTAAGTTATATATTGACTATCACCTTTAGTATGCCACTAAACTGTTCCAATAATTTATTACAGTCTCTGTGGGGTTGAATGGTTTTGATTGCATTTGTGTAAACAGTGATGTCACAATCACTAAAAATACAGTTTTCTGGTTTTAATCTTCACATTTTGTCATCCGTGTTAAGGGTCGTGCTAGGAAGCTCGTGGTTCAGTCGCTGCCTTCGATGGAGGTTTTCTACTCGCTGGAAGTTTCTTCTGAGTCTTGGTTGATCCAGAAGGGAGTCAGTATGGTAAATAAAACAATGGATCATAACAGTATGGAGATATACATGGTATAATGCAGACATGTAATATTTGATTCTAATGCTCTGTTGTTTGTCGTGGCTTGTAGGGGTGGGTGATATACTGGTTAAAATGATGAATCGAGTGTAGCTTGTTACCGTAATGCAGCGTTTCTTTGCTCAGGCTTCAGTGTCCCTGCGAGGGGTGTGATGGCACACAGGTGACTATGTTTGCTATGTTTTCAGTAAAGCAGAAGAGAATTAAAAAAAAAACATTAATAACTTATTTTTCTTTGAACCGTGGTTTACTGAACACAGCTTGGATTACTTATGGTGCTGTTTAAATGCCTTTATTCGATCACAGATCTTTTGTAATTAATCTCACATGACGATAACATTTGTAATAAATATATTTTTGCATTTAATAAATGATGGTATATTCGCAGCAAGGTATATCAGTATAAATGACACTGACCCGTCCTGTATCTGAGTTTAATATTAGGTTCTGCATGTACAGTAGTTACACGTGTGCCGTTACACCCTTAGTTCCATAAGAGATCATATTTAGCAAAGTTGTGAATGTGAGTCTGAATTGTTTATCTGTGCACATCCTTCTGTTGAATTGTCTTGTTCTCATGAGCTGCACACACACACTCACTCACACACACAGGTTTGTTTTTGTGAAAAGTGGGGACTCTCCATAGGGGTAATGGTTTTTATACTGTACAGAGCGTATATTCTATTGCCCTACACCAACCCTACCCCTAAACCTACCCCTCACAGGAGACTTTCTGCTATTTCAGATTTTCAATACACTCCATTCTGTGTGATTTATAAGTGTTTTGAAAAGTGGGGACATGGGGTAATGTCCTGAAAAGTCACCTTCTCCTTGTGATACCTATGTTATACCTTTGTCATTATACACATTTATGTCCTCATTTGTCACAAAAACGCGTGCACACTCGCACGCACGCACGCACACACTCGCTCACACACGCACTGACATGCACACACTCACACATACACGCACTCGCACACACTCACACATACACGCACTCACACACGTGCGCACTCACACACGTACGCGCGCACACGCATGCAGGCAGGCACTCACACATACACGCACTCACACACAGGCACGCACGCACGCACGTACTCACGCATGCACTCACACGCACTCACACACTCACGCGCACACGCACGCATGCACTCACACATACACGCACTCTAACACGCACGCACTCGCGCACACATTTGAATGTGTATAGGCCTTCTTGCATTATTATGCTGTTATATTATGATTATATATTCAGTGGCATAAAATGGTCTTAAAATGACAATATTGTTTATCAATTATTTCTGGGGAAATATATCGCACAACAAAAAGTTATCGTGACAGGCCTAATTATGGGATCATTTTGCTATTTGTTGTAATGAAGTGCACCAATAAAAGGGTTTCATATTTTGCTGCGTAGTGGCAAGTCTGCAGTCTGTCTGTATCCTTTTCATTCACCGCCTGATTCCTGTTTGCCCCGCAGCATGATCTCGTCAGTCAGGTGTGTTTGTGCGCAGGCTTGTTGTTTAGTCTCTAGAGGCACTCCTTCGCGGCTGGTGCTGGAAAGCCTATGGGAGCCAGAAAAAAATGGTTAATTATAGATGTGGGTTTTTGTTAATAACCAGTATTTCCAAAAATTGGTTATTGATGCTGATTAACTTGTTGGAAGTAATATATTGGTCGACCTCTAAAAGAAACTGTGCTTGAATAGTTATTCTGCTTGATGAATTTCTGCTGGTATATTGTCCACCTCATATAGAGTTATGAGCCGCCCCGATGCCCTGCATAAACTCATAAATCCATCTCTCTTCCTCAGGACCCTTTCTATTTGCTGGAGGGAGTTTTGGCGAACACAAAGAGGTGGCTAACAGACACGATCATGACCATCTATAAATATTAAGACCAATGATTTGCTTTTATATTGTGGTGTTAATATGTTGCAGTATATTGTTCACATTTTTGGAGCCAAAAGCATGATAGCTCATTTGTATGTGTTCTAGCAGCCCTGAAGATCCCGTGTCTACTGTTGTGATCCGATGCTTCACAGAGGCGCTGCCAGAGAACAGGTGTGCTCATGAAACATACGTAATATTGATTATAATTCTGATTAAGTTTTGATTTTGATTTCATCAAGTTATTTGTTGGAGATGCAGCTGAAGGAATGCTCTGCTTGATTTGAATGCTCGTTTGGGTGGTTTTGCTTCATTATAATGATGATGTTCTGATCCTCTGGTCTTGTTCATTTAGTCGTCTCACTGTTCACACGCAAAACACACCTGGGACCATAATCGTATAGTCATTTCATTTTTTCGTAAAATGAATGTACTGTATTTGCTGTATATGTTACTAAATATTCTAATTAAAATATGAATATTTCTATATAAAATGTAAATAAGTGCATTAGTGATTGCATACAGGTTAGTGCCACCTGGTGGAAAGAAATAAGGAAAATAATCTGAAATACGATGGTTTAGCCACTAGATGCATGTATAGCCTGTTTATAAATACATACAGCACTCAACCTGAATGAGCTATTTATCGAGTGATAATTCTCGATCCGAGCTAGAGCCATCTGGTCATGAGCCTGTTAGTAGAGTATTTGCTTACCAGGGTCTTACATTTAGTTGTATCAAATTTAAGGTCTTAAAAAGTCTTAAATTGCACAAGAAAGTCTTAATTATGATTTCAAGAGGTCTTAAGTTTGGGGACAGAAAGACCAGAATGGCGATATGGCTGAATGTGATGAATAAACTTCAAAAGGCTATGATTTAATTGAATAAACACGAGCGCTGCAGGTTCAGAGTCGGTGCTGCTGCTCTGTGTTCAGCAGTTACCGGGAAACAGTGATATTTCTACCAAACGCTCCTCCTGCTGGCAGCGAATGAATGAGCATTCCCAATTAAACCGTAGAGTTCAGACCAATGCGAAAATCCACCCATGTTTTACCCTGCAAACACACAGAGCTGTAAATGTAAACTGGTGGATCGATAAGAAGACAATGCATTATAAAAATCTAAACATTCGGGTGTGCTATATGTATGGTCTGCGATAATATCGTAATTGTTGTTTTAACGATGTGCGATTTGATATTATCGAGTATATCGCAAAAAGCAAACAACACCTACAGAGTGCGCGCTTACATTAGGTGATGAAGTCTAGCAGGTTAGACTAGTGTGCATGCGCGTTTAGAGTGCCTTCTTTCACTGCATGAATCAGTCTATTAAAATGCATTTAGAATTATCACATAATTCAAGATATGGGGCAGAAAATGTATATATTTATATCGTTTCATATAGTTAATATCACACGAAGATTGCCGTTTTTTTCTCTCAAAGTCAGCATGATGTGATATTGATTTTATACAACAGTTCAATAAACAAGTAGTTAATATTAAGAGACTTACGTTTTAGACGCCATATTTCCTGTTTTTGCTCTCTTTCTCCAACAAAAATCATTCCAAACACAGCCACTGAGCTGTTCTGTGTCTCTGAGCAAAAGGACGGTGTTTCGTTCCTGAATGAATCAAGTGTTTAAATGATTCGGTTCAATCGCAATGACTCACTTAACAGTGACTTGCTGCCACCTGCTGGTGGTTTTAATTTCACATTTAAGGTACCTTTTCATTTTTTAAATAATCTCAAACATCAGTTTTCAATGTTTTATGTTTAAAATATCAAAACATTATTTATGCATTTGTAGCTGCAGGTTAAAGTATTTAATGTCCCTCTGAGCTGCATTAAACCGTGTGTAAACACATCTAGACGCCTCTTCAGACGCAGCTTCTGTGTGTCCTCTGCGCTGCAAAGATGCATTTAGTTGATACTGATTTCATTTGCTTGCTAACAGCCTAAATGCAAGAATTTGACTCAAAAGATGGTGCACACTTTTAGAAAAAATGGCTTAAAGATAAAAATGTCCATAAAGCTTATAGGAAAAGATAAATTTCTATCACTGCTGTGAACTGACCACACAGAATATGAAGAATATCAAAGAATTCAGGAGTCAGCTGTCAGCACAATTAGAGATAAGATATCAGCACAATAACACACTCAGCAAAATATTGTCTAATTATCGTTATCGATAAAACCCCAGAAATGTATCGAGGTATCATTTTTTTGTCAATATCGCACACCCCTAATTTGTTATTTAATTGATATAATAATTTATTGATAATTGTTTAAGTTAATAATAATGATCACTCATCCATTTTCTTAAAAATGGTTTAAAGGCTGAAATGTAAAGTTTATCATTTTATAAAACAGTAATTTTACAGTTTAATATGGTGCTATAGACATTGCCCTACCGCGCTTATATGGTATTAATTTTATTTGTGCAGGTCTTAAAAAGTCTTACATTTTTTAGCTTAAAAAACCTGCAGAAACCCTGCTTACGGCTGAATGACTGAGTTTATTTCTCTGTGTTAGTCGCACCAGTTTGTGTGTGTGATTGTTTTGTAGGGTTGATGAGTTTAACCCTTTTATTGCTGATCTTTTTTTCATGACCGTTTAACCTTTTCAAACATGTTTGTGATTTTTCTGTGTTCACAAAGCAGTACAGCAAAAGTTTCATGCCATTCTGATGAAGTAAAACATCCAAAATGCAAACCAGAGAGTTAAATACTTAAGTGAAATAAATACTTCAGAGCCCATTGTTACACTATTGCTCTTCTCCCTCCAGACTGAACAAACTCCTGTATAAGCACAAGTTTGAAGAAGCGGAGAAATTCGCCAAAGCCTTTGGACTTGATGTTGAAGTAAGACCCTGGTAAAGTTGGCATGCAAACATCTAGTTTCTAACAGAGTGTTGATGGTGAGCTGACGAGGTTAGTTTGTGTGTGTGGCAGCTGGTGTATAAGGTTAAGCTGAATGTTGTGCTGGAGAAGCTGATCTCCGCATCAGGCAGTGCTCAAACCCTGCAGTGGCCCGAGCTCATCGAAGAGGCCAAGACCAACCTGATGAAGATCATGGTAATCATCCGCTTCACAGCATATTAATAATAACAATCTGAGCCTGTAAACACAAGTAAGCGTTCATCTCTGTATGTATAGTAAATATACTTTCTATAATCATATTAAGAAATGATGGAGACTAAACATGTGCGCTGGGCGATACAGAACAGGAGCGTGAAGCGTCACCATTGTTCAGAAAGTAATTTCTGTGTCTGTGCAAATAAATTAGTTCACTTTATTTTGTTAAATATGATCTGCAAAGTGTACAAGCTTAGGAAACAATTTTAGCTATAGTGAGATAGTGCTTAGAAATGTAATAGCTGGTAAAAGGGGGAAAATGTATGAATGAAGCATAAGCTAAACGTTGAGTAAGCGGTGTAAAATAATAATACAGTGACCCGAACACCACGAAGGTGTCGATCTCGCCTCATTTAGAAGACCATTACTGTAATGACCAAATTATTGAAACGGTTGAGGTTTGGTGAACAACACGCAATTTAATCAGATTGCACTTTGTTTGTCAGGTTCAAACCGTTGTTGCTCCTTTGAGCTCTCATATTCAGATCTCTCTTCATTACGTTCCAAATAAAATGATGATCAGTGCAGTCGTTTACTGTTAATTATGATGGCTTATGATTAATTTAATACAAATGTCCCTTCCCTTTGGTCAAGAGTGACAAACAAAATACTGATAAAAGTCCTTGAGTCTGGTGTTCATAAAAGACTGGAAGCCTATGGACTAAAGTCAAATAAGATGGCTATATAACTAACCTCTGTTTTGTCCTAAATGGTCTTTCATTCTTTTATATATATATGTATATAAAGATCCACGTTTTCATGGTAAAGCAGCAGCTCTGCAGAATAGAGTGTGTAAGCAACACTCCTCTCTCTGGGGCTGTAATCACAGCTGAACTCTACACTGTGTGATGGGGGTGTGTGTGGGTGTGTGTGTATTTGTGTGTTTTTGTGTTTGTGGGTGTGTGTGGGTGGGTGGGTGGGTGTGTGTGTTTTTGTGTGTGTGTGTTTTTGTGTTTGTGGGTGTGGGTGGGTGGGTGTGTGTGTATTTGTGTGTTTTTGTGGGTGTGGGTGTGGGTGTGTGTGTGTGTGTGTTTAACATGCAGTCTCCCGTGTGTCCCGCAGGACGAGCAGTTTGTGGTGCAGTACTGTCTGACTGCTTCTTGGCCTTCTCTGAGCATCGCTGAAGACATGCTGAGTTACACCTCGAACCGCTTCCCCTGCTGCCAGATCCAGACAGCCCTGGCCAAGCTCGCCACCTTCGCTAGCGTCTGTGGACCTGACCGCTTTGAGTACGTTCAGCAGACCAGTCTGTTTCTCAGTTATTACGGTCTAGGACATGGATTTGCTCCACCTCACCTCTTCACACTTTACTCGCATTAATCACTTCATGTCATTAACAGGGGCATAGCATGGATTGAGTTCTTGAACAGTGTGGATTATCTCCGAGACATCCTTGCTCTTCTGAAAGAGGGCAATCTTAGTGGAGCACAGTACTTGTGGCTTCGACACGAGGTAAAGGAGTCGGCTCTCTCTGTGAGCTTCAAAGCGCTGTAGAAAGAGTCGTCTGTATGACAGCAGCTTTATATATAGACTGAAATGAAACGGTTCGAAGCCATTCCATGATTTAATGGCTTGAAACAATACAAAAATGTCTTAATTCTAGCTCGTTATAATGTTCAGTATGTCGTGGGAGTGGGAGTGGATGTGTCCGTAAAGTATCACCAAATTATTAAATGAAAGTTTCAAACCTTTCATTGTGACATTAATGTGACCAAAATGTGTTAGAACTAGGCCTAGCCTATATCACTCATAATCTTCCTATTAACAATAAAGCCACCTTATATCATTTCATTTATTATTATTATTGTTATTATGGCATAATGCACAGCTCTTTAACTGTAGTCTAAACATTCAAAGTTAATGCTGGCTGGTACTGTACAGTATAAAGCACTGCCGTCACTGTAATATTTCACTGTAACTGGTCTAATAGCTGGAACATTACACATTTAGGTTAAATGATAAATAATTTGAGATGAAATGTTATAATGCTTTATTTATTTCTCTGAACTGTATGTTCTCCAGGGAGAGTTTTGCAGGGAGTTTGATGAGAGCTGCCTGCATGCTCTGCTGGGCTCCATCTCTTCTGACGTCTCCTCTCAGGACCTGCGGCTGTGGTTTAAGGGGGTTCTGGTCCCGTTTGTGTGGAGAGCGCTGCCCAGCGGACGGGTATGACTTCAAACACCGTGCTTTAGGACTGTGACACTTTGATTAAACACCAGTTATTGGGAAAAATAGTGCATCAGTCAATTAAAAAAAAAAACAGCAACTAGTTAATCACTATTTGTTTCTGTAAGTAATCATGATTAATCGCATATTATTATAATATATTTATTGTCACAATTTCACATTGCATCCAAATGAATAAAGATGGTATGTTTTAATGTTTAATGGCATCGTTTTAATGAAGAATTGATACTAATAATGCTAATGATGTCTCTATTAAATGCATTTTTCTCTCAGTTTTAGCCATTAATCATAACCATTCAACATTACAGTATAACTGAAAGCCATTCTTTTTAACATGTAATAGGCTTTAAAAAATATAGCAATTTATATAAATTTAACAAGTTAAGTAATAATAAGTTAATTAATAATGATAAGTTAATTTTGACAGGCCTAGAAAAAATTATTAGTTTGTAAGGTGGATAAGAAAGTGGTTTTGTGCTATAAATAAGCTAATGAAATGCAAACAAATCATTTCAAAAGCAAATAGTTCTTATGTTCTTACTGTAATGTTAAATTCTGTTGTAATTTCTCTTTTTTTTTTCTTTTTTTTTAAATAAAGTTTTTCGTTTATGCCCCGCATGGAAGGATGTAGCACTGCTTTTAAAAGAAACTAGTCAATAGTGCTACATATTAACACTTTTACATTTTAAATATATGCAGAAAATCCTCGCCAGGTGGTTGGAGCAACGTGTGAGGAATCTGGAGTTAACAGAAAAGGTAGTGAACTCTTATGAGCAGTTTTTCAAAAAAGTGTTTTTAAATGCAAGGTTAATACTTTTCAGAATTAATTTTTCTTATTTTCTAAACACAGGCTAGAAAATAAGCCAGCCATTTGTGACACTTTCTGTGTCTACAGTGAGGTTTGCCTTTGTGACAGACATCGCTCAGTCATTGTGTGGCCAAATCTCACTTTAGAAAGTGTATGAATGTCCTGATGCATCCTAGACATGATCAGGTGACCATACTCATGTAATACAGTCGTTCTGAACCAACAACGTAGAGCTTTAAAGGGGTCATGAACTGAGAAACCAAAATTCCCTTGATCTTTTGACATGTAAGAGGTCACTGTACTATAAAATCATCCTGTAAGTTTCAGAACTCAACACTTTCTCGTTAGTCTAAAAACAGCTTTTATTGAAGCCAATCTGCCAAAACGGCAAGTTGAGGAATGTGCCACTTTATGACATCATAGTGTTTAAACCCCGCCTCCGCAGAAGATCAGTGCCTGCTTCTACATCACTGCCACTTTAGCCCCGCCCACCGATTCTACATCACTGCCTGTTTAGCCCCGCCCACCGAAT